GGCACACTAAGTTTTCTCAATATCATTATAAAACAGACTAGTGCCAAGCCATATGTAGAGAGGAAGCGAGATTTTAGCTGGGACATACCTATCATACATTGATACCAGACCAGATATGGACACTGAAAAATATTTGCTGGAAAAGGAAGGAATATGGTCAGAGTGTATGCTGTTCATTGCTTTTATATTAATGTATGACACTAGCATCAGACAACTCTTCAGTATCATGGAGGGGAATATGCTCTCATAAAGCCAGTACGACTTGTGTGCCACATGAAAGGACTTTTTGGTCAGGTAAGTTGGTGATGGGGCTTCTCAGAATCGTTCAATATAAAAAAATGGGCATGGATAAGGATGTCCTCTTGCCTTTTTTCATTTCAATATTGCGGTGCAGTCAGCCATGAAAAGAGTGGGATTTGATAGAAGTGGGAATATTTTTAATAGGATGACTCAAACACTTGCTTAAAAGGTTGATGCGATTGGAAAGTCACAAAAAAAATATTAAAGACAGACTTCAAAGGCTTAAGGTAGAAATAGACAGGTAAGGATTAAAAATAAATGAAAACAAAATCAAATTGTTAATTTTAAGAAGGGATTAAACCAACAGCAGCACAACATTATGTGGGTGCCTATTTTTGAAGTGTTCATAACTTGTGATACCTCATCAGCACTAGTAGAAGAATTCTGGTCAGGAATCATGTTTACTTCTGCCAAATAATTAGACACACATACATACATAATAATTTAAATAAAAATATAGAGAAAGGTTATGACTAAAGGATTAACTAAAACGATGTTTAACTGATTTATTTTTTAAACATTGTCATTGTACAATTTACAGAATCATTATATTACAATAACATAAATACTTTGGTCATGATTTTCTCAAGTCAATGAAAAAATAATAGAACAAATCCCACCACATATGTTATCACATAAAGACTGTTATTACCACTATAAGACAGAATATTGTTGTTTACACCTCAGGAAATTACTTAACCCACAATAACTTCTAAATAATGAAATAATTAGTATCAGATTTCCTAAGGAATCAAGTATAATTTTAATAAAAATAATACACAAATAAAAGAAAGTAAAATATTAATTGACGAAGTTAGAAAATAGGTACAAATCTTTTTATATTGCAATATTGTTTTTGTTTTTTTAGATGTTGACAGTTAATACACAACAAATATAAAAAGTTAAGTTCAGAGATGATAAAAGAAACTTCTTTTCATCCTATTTAAGAATTTCAGAAGAAAACACAATTTTAACACTTGTGATTATTTTAGGCATTCTGTTGAAAGTGTTACATAAAATTAAATACTTTTAAACAATAAGTTCTTTGTTAAAGAATAAATGAAAATATAATGTGTGATGAGACTTAAAGGAGACAATTATTAAATAGCTTATAATCTTGCTTTAAAATAATAAGTGGCTCTAAATAATAACAAAACTTTCATGTTATACACTAATTTATCATTACATGACAGCTTAATGCTAAATAGCCAAACTGCTATGTAAATAAATTCAGTAAATTTTCACAGTTTTTTGCTTAAAAACTAATATTTAAAAAATGAAAATTATTTAAAATTAAGATACATAGGTTTGAATACATTTTAAAAATTAAAAATAAAAGATATTATATCACTGTATGTAAAAGTATGTGATCAAACATTATTTTGGAGTACAAAACATTTACAAATCAAAAATATTTGTTTGCCAACAAATAAAAATAGGAATGTATAAGTGAATAATAGGAAAACAAACAAATAAATAATTACAGTGGAAAGTTAATAATTTAAAACTACTTTAAATCTTTTTTAATTTCAATTATTAATAACTTATTATAACTTAACAAATGTTTTTAATTTCAAAAATGGCTATTAATTATGACAAAACAGATTGGACCAGTATTATATGTTTTTGACAATAGAATTAAATAAATGCTGCAAAAAATTAATAAAAACTTTGTTATTTAAATGAATATTTGATTGAAAGTCGCTAAAATAATTCTCAATAATAATTTAGAAGTTACTTTTCAAAACAAAAAACCTATAATAATATTTTTTCTTTGATACATTGCTCTAAAAATAATCTTTTCAATGAAGCATACAAATAATTTTCATTTAATTCATAACTAAAAATTATTTAGTGTTTAAAATTCATAATTGATTAATTTTGAAAATAATTTCATATTTTTGAAAGATAGTCAATTCTATCCCATTAGTTACTATCACTTAGATCAATAAAATGATTAATATTGAAAGTAAAATCAGAGAAGCAGATTGGGGGCATGGTCAAAAACACCCTAATAAATGGGACTTATTGTATTTGTTGTGTGTGGCTTATTTATTTACTAGTCTCTCATCCTTTGATAGCACTAGACAGCCTGGATAAAACCTACAAGGTAGGTTGAAATTTAGTTACTAAAAAAATACAATAAAGCCACTTAGACTCTATTGATCGCACCCCTGACTTCTCAAATTACATCTACAGCCAACTATAACCAAACTTTCAAAAATGAACTCTATTTCTTCATTCAACAAACAATTCAGTAAAAATTATCACAGAAAGACGAATCAGAGAAAATGTAAATCAATTAAAATGAATATTTCTATTGTGTAAACAATCTGTAAACTTTGAAGGATAAAGGTAAAAAAAGTAGTGAATGAAAGAACGGTTAATTAAACTTAAGTTTCACAAATCTATACAAGGGAGGACCAATATAAAATCAGTCAGTTTTTTCAAAATCAAATACATTTTTATTCACCAACTATCACCACTGGGACCACCATAATCAACCATAAGCTAGTATCTCGACATTGAACAAAATAAGAACACTCAAGCAGGTATCTTATGAGCAAGAGCTGGATTTTGATGCAATTGCCTATTTTCATTGCATGCATTTTTTAAACTGGTGATAAAATATCTGTTATTGTATTGTTTGATTATTTCAAATAAATAATAATAATAATTAGAAATAATGAATAAAACTTGAAGGAACATTGAAGATGAAATTTCATAATACAACTGTAGTTTGATTTTCAATTAATAAATAACTATGAAATAACGCTACATTCAGTTATTGACTTTTTTTAGAATAAGAATTTTTTTCATTACTTGACTTTTCATCTCATTTTGTCATTACTTTTAAGTTCTAAACAACATACTCAGTTTCAATTTCTTACTTTTTTTACAAGAAGTTATACTTTTTATAATTTTAAGTTAAACCTTTTCTTCAAAATATTATGATTCTAAAGATGAAACAGTTTTTAAAATTAATTGGAAGATTTGTTTTTACTTTTATTGTTCAAAACAAGTTTCTATTGAAAACAACAAGTCAATAATTTTAAGGGGATACAAAGTTTCTCATTTACGTCTGCTGTAGAAACATCATTTTCTTATATAAAAATATTTCAAACGAGAAAATTAGGTTTTAAGAAACAAATTAAAAAATTCATTTATTAATTTTAATCAGATCAAGTCGCTTACTAATCCCTAATCCATAGGCATTTTATTTATTTTGTTTATGTGGTCGATTATTTTTTTAGTTAAAATCATTTTTAGTTTTCTTTTATTACTAATTGTAAATTATATTATTTCAATATTTAATAAGCATCTCACATTATGTTTTTAATTATGTGTTTAATTATTTTCATATTTATTTGCATCTTTTATGGCATATTTTGTGGGTTTTTATTTCATAAAAATCCAGGTCCTGCTTATGAACTATTGCTTACAAAAACCTAAAAGATATTGAACCTCCAAATGAAGAAGAAATATAAAATATTATCAAGAACCATAAAAGTCATAAATACAAAGGAATTTATAGCATTTTTTTCAAGGCATTTATACTTAAAAAAGAGGAACAAAATAGCAAAATATTTTATTTATTTCTGGTAGTCCGGAATATTCAGATAATAATAAATAATTAACCAGGTAAATATTTTGCCAATTCAACATTATCAGAATTGAAAAAAGCATAAGATTACATAAATGCATACCAGAGACATCACATCTCACAACATCAGTCTAAAAAAGACTAACTAGATAGAGGTAGTATATTAATCAAATACATTTTAACATATACTGCAGAGAATCTTCTGATAGTATCATAAATAAATATAAAAATTAGAAAAAAGATTTTTTTCTCGTACTCTATAATAAAAAATACAGGGGAACATAACAATGAATCAAAATATTATTGACACTAAACATGACAATGAGGATAAAACTTCTATTCAACTACAAAAGTAAAGAATGATTAAAAACAATAATAATGCCAATACTGTAGATAATATGGTCTATAATTTTAATTAATCATGGAAGATTTTTCCAAAGTCTTAGGTAGGAATAAAACCATTACTTCCAAAATATAGAATTTAATGAATATTTTTAACAATTTTAAAATACAATGATTCATTCAGCCTATCCCTTTCTCTCTCATTTCCTTCCCAATATTTTTCTTTCATGAATGGAAATAGTTTAAGTGGAATGTACATTTTTATGAGAATGGAAGAAATAACAATGAATAAATTATTACTTATTTAAAGAAAATCAATTTTCAACTTACTTTTTAAAAACCACTTCAGTGCTACCAACAAAATTTAACAAGGTACAAAAATTTTAATTGTAAAGTACTTCGGCTGGTAAAGTACTTCAAACGGTCAAATAATCACTTTAAAAAACAATTTTTTCACATTAAGAAATACTATCATAAAATAAATAAAATATGGGAAAAAATAAAAGCCAAACCAAACAAATACTACTACTTATTTTATCAACTCTACTTCTATAAGTATATATATGTATGAATGTATGTATACACATACACACACACACTCACTCTCATATACCACACATGCAGACATAAACACACACACAAAAATATTTATATTTATAGTTAGTTTTTTTAATATATAATATACATAGATATCGCTAACTATGATATCAAAACCATGAGTTAGTTACACAATGAGTTACACAAGGTTAAAAAACTATCGAGCTAATTGTGTTATGAGAGAAGCACACATTTCAAAAAATTCCATTGTTTGATAGCCTGTTGACTGCTGATATGTCATTATATCTCCATCTAAAATAATAAAAAATAAAAAAATAGTTACTTAGATCACATGATAATATGAATGAAAAATGTAAATTTTTAGTAAAACTGATTTCATTATATTTTATAAATCACTACAAACCAAAATTTAGATACACAACATTTTATTTTAAATTTCTTCCTGAATGTAAAGACAATACATTATTTTTCCCTTTAACTTTGACGTTATTTAGAAATATATATAATAAATATATAAATATATTAAAAAATGATGTAATCTTGTGATATATGTACATATTGTGTAAGCAATATCAGAGCGTCAAGGAATAGCAAAATGCTAATTTTCCATTTAGTGCCACATGAGCTCACCCTTGGGATGTCATGGCAGCACTAATTTTTGCCTCTTCAAGCTAATTTTAAAAACAAAATAGAGATGCAACAAAAAGTTAAAAAAATATTGCAGATTAATAGTATAAGTATTCTTCTTCTTCGAACTTTCCTCAATTGGTGAGGTTGAGGATTAAGAGTATAAACTCTGTCATAGCGGTCCCAAGCCCTGGTTGAAAAAGGAGAAGGGTTGGACCCTTAGAGGTCTGTAAAGACCCTAGTGCTGGTGAGGCACAATAACTCAGTAAGGAAACTCATGTATGGGAAGAAAAACCCCAAACGAAAAACCATGTTGGTGGGCAGCAGCGTCAACATTACTTTTTTGAAGACGAAAACTTCAGTTGGCTGGGTCCTTCAAGATATCATCAGGTTGAGATGATACCTCAGAATGGCTGATGAACTAACTTGGATCTACCCCTATTAGAAAAGGCCACGGAAGCCGAACACGACAGACCCAAAGGTGCAATTAAACTCTTATATCCAATGGATGATAAGATAAATGTGATGCTATGCTCTTCTTCCCTAGTATGGTTGTTATGAGTGTAAGTATTATGAAGTTATTAATATCATGTATATATATTATATATATATATATATATATATATATATTATATATATTTATATATATATATATATATATATATATATAACTTCAAAATACACTATTAATCTGCAATATTTTTTTGAACCTTTTGTTGCATCATATATATATATATATATATATATAAGCAGCAGGCCACCCATAGCTCCGTCCACAATTGATCTCTTTGTGCCCAATCTGGCACTGTCCTTCCATTTACTCACTCAGGTTAAAGGATAGAGACAAATTGGTCAAGATCCAGGAATAATAGCTGCTCAGAGTCAGCATACGCATGAGGAACTATATTTCATTCTCTGAAACATAGCATCTATGAGCAAACCTCAGTAGGGCTAATGACATACTAGAAAAACCACATCCTGAGTATCAATTAAAGTATACAGGGTAGGGTCAACAGTTATACACCGGTCGGAATGAGTTGCCTCCAGTAGGCTGACGGACCTCACGTACCTGAAGGAGAGAGGAATCTTGGGCAGCATGGCTTATAATACCGTTGGACGGTCACCCCATGCTCGACGTTGCTTAACTTTGATATATATATATAAATTTGACTTGTCTAAAGGCTTATACACACAGTGGTGTGAAAAAGTCTTCGAACAAGCCAAATTTTTATAATAATGAAAAACGTTTCAATTTAAAAGTATTTTTACCTTCTTAATTGTAAACTAATTTAATAACTTTTCAGATACTGTAGATGTTATATGTTTAAATTAGCATTAATTATCCCGCAATGCGTCAGGTGCCAAAAAAAGGCCACACTAGGTCGTACTGCAACCATTCACCACGGTGCGTCAAATGTCGACAAGGCCACGAAAGCTCCACATGTAATAAAACAAGGGAGACGCCAGCGAAATGCGCAAATGGCGAGAGCTAACATCCAGCGAATTATCGTGGGTGTCAAACTCTTCGTGATTTGAGAACACTAAGAACTACGATAAATCAAGTTCACCAGAGAGCATCACCTCCTTCATCGAATCTTCTAGATTTCCCTAATCTTCCACAACCTTCTAAAGTTTTACAGAATCAGAATCATCAAGTGCAGAAGCAGAAGCAATCTCAGTGGCATCTCCCTGTACAGCAGCTGGAGTCAGCTCATCAGTATCATGTTGCACATCTGCAACCACCAGCCCAGAAACAGCCTGAACCAGTAACACAAAACACTCAACCTTCTTTGGCAGCCATGAGAGGAGAAAGTACCCAGCACACTTCAGCTGATGCATATACCACAGTTATTAAATGGTCTCAACACTCTCATCCAGCCCCTTTTTAGCCTTCTCCAACAGCTTGTGCAGGTGACTCAAGGCATATGTCTTCCAAATGACCATTAATCAGCTGACTGCAGGCTCCTTGTCTATTCTTCTGTGGAATGTAAATGTGCTACATAGAACAGAATTGGACTTAATATTAACACGAAAAACGGAGAGACATTGCATCAGAAACACACTTTACACCACAAACTAAATTTCATATTTCAGGATACGTTACGCACAGAACAGACCATCCTGACAACACAGTTCATGGTGGTACGGATATACTAATAAAGATATCACTTTCACATAAACCCTTGTACTTACCCACGACAACTGACATACAAACCACAGGCTTAACACTACATACTAAACATAATATAGAATATTTAATAGTTGACCGTTGCATTATAAAGGTAGGAGATGGTCCGGGGTTGCGGTCATAAATAGGCTAAATAGTGGTAAAACTATTTAGCCTATTTATGACCGCAACCCCGGACCATCTCCTTCCTTTAAACATAATATAATAACAATAGCGTCAGTATATTGCCCTCTCAGGTACATATTGACACCTTCTATGTTTTGCAATTATTTTCAAAGACTTGGGCATTACTTCTTAGTGGGCGGTGACTTCAACTCAAAGCACCAATTTTGGGGTTCATGACTATGCACACCAAGAGGAAGAAATCTGAGGGCTGCTATCCATGAACTTTCATTAGACACTATTTCACCTGATACACCGACTTATTGATCAGTTTCGCGACGTTAAACTCCAGACCTACTAGACTTTTCCATTACCAAAGGACTACGGACCATACCTCACACCATAAATAAAAGCTCTGACCTTTGTGATCTGATCATTCCCTTACAAACTTAGTTATCTTAGATAAGCCCATAAACCTTCCACAAAAGCCAAAACTCATCAATGGAAAGACGGATTGTGATGCTTATAGAGCATTTCTGGATTCAGAACTTTCAATACCTGGGTCAATTAAAACTGAAGAAGAATTAAATGAAGCAGTAGACAAATTTACCAAAAGTGTCCAAAAAGCTGCTTGGTTATCATCTCTTCCGACGTCATCAAGACCAAAGAACTTGCTGAGATATCCTCAGTATATTAGGGACTTGATCACGGCAAAGGTATGACAGATTAACAGACCCCTCAAATAAACAAACATTTAACAGACTGAATAATGAACTGAAACGACTAATACACAAATTCAATGCGACAAACTATGATGCTTACTTGAATAGCCAATCGACTGACGATGGAAGTTTGTGGAAGCATACCAAGAATTTGTTAAAACATTGAGTGGTGTCAGTACCCCTGCGAAAAAAGGATGGTTCATTGTCAGATAGGGAATAATCTTAATTATTTTCTGCCAATCTATCATCTGTATTTACACCATTTACTGACTTTACGAACACAGAACATGAAACCTTAGTACTAAATATTCCAGATATACCACTACCGTTGGCACTACCATCTCTCTCATTCACTCCTCCACAAGTTGCACAACAAATCAAACAATTGCCTAAAAGAAAAGCCCCAGGTTATGACTTAATAACTGCCGAGGCACTCCAGCAAATATCCAGGAAAGCACTAGTTCCTTACAACAATATACAACTGTATGCTAAGGACAACTAAATTCCCACTACAATGGCAATATTCACATATAAAAATGATACACAAAAGAGACAAAGACATTTTCAATCCTACATCCTACCGACCTATCAGCCTCCTTCCAATAAGTTCCAAAATATTTAAGTATTTTGTATATTAATTTTAAGAAAAATTAATATTCAAAAGATTGGTTGACATACTAACGGTCCAAAACATAATTTCTGACCATCAATACGGCTTTCGTACATTTCATTCAACTACACACCCATTACACAGAGTTACTGATTATCTTGCTGAAACACTAGAGCAAAAACAATATGAAACTGGTGTGTTTTTGGATGTTGCCCAGGCATTCGATAAAGTCTGGCACCAGGGACTTCTCTTTAAACTCAAAACTATACTACCTCATTCTTCAGTCTTTCCTTTTCGACAGATTTTTCTCTGTCCGACAGGGCTTAGAAATTTCCTCGATTTGACCAGTGTCGGCAGGAGTACCTCAGGAATCAATACTGGCTCCTTTACTCTACATTACCTATATGTATGACATGCCTACCACCTCCGAAACATTGACTGCTACTTAAGCTGACATCTACAATTATAACAAAAAATCACGACCCCAGACTAGCCTCACTGAATTTACAAAATTGGTATTCACTTTGGAAAATTAGATTAAATCATGACAAATTACAACATATAACATTTACACTTCGATGAGATACATGCCCACTAGTTTACATTAGCGACAACCGAATTCCCCAGGCGGACACTGTACGTTATCTTAGGTTAATATTTGACAGAAGGATATCCTGGGGTCCACATGTCAAAATGAAACGAAAGACTTTGAACAAGCGACTGAAAATACTGTACTCACTTTTTTCCAAATCAAAATTGAAAATCAGACAAAATCTTAATACCTACTCAAATCCATATGGACATACGCCTCACAAATGTATGGTTCTGCAAAAAAGACGCATTTACAAAAACTACAGACATTTCAATCCAAAATTGTATGACTTATAACAGGAGCTGCTTGGTACGTAAACAAGAAAACTTTACATTGCAACTTACGACAACCAATTATCGACCAACACATACGTGATATCTACTCCAGATTTCATCTTAAACTACTCGGACATCACAACGGACTTATTAACGACATGACCACAGCTGACAT